CCTGTATCTTGTCAACTGACAGTTGAAAATATACCGGGTGCCTGATCGAGTACTTAGGACTTTTCTCGATGCTTGTACGTTTTTGTTGATTATCTTACAAAAATTTAATATCTACTAGAAAGTAGTAAATTTACAATTATTTATTTTGAATATTAACAGTTAAAAACTCTAAATAACGCTTAATATTCAAAATAAGTAATTAATTACATTTTAGTTCTACATTGAATTTTTCTAAGAATAATGTTTTCTTTATCTTGACGAAATTATTTTTTAAAAAGTAGCAAGAAAACAATTAAGTTTCAAAATAAATAGTTAATTACTACATTTCAGTATGAAATTGAATAATGAATGTTTGTTAATCAAATATTATATTATTATTTCTTAAAGAGTAGAAAAAGAAAAAATTAAGTTTAGATTGTGAGACACACGCGTGCGAAAAAATGATAAAAAATTATTAAATTTAAAACTTATTATAAATGAATTAATTAAAAGTTACGTAAAAATTTATATTGCTGTTTTCCATGTCCTCTGTATATAAAAATATATTATTTCATATAAGAGAATATCCTATTCCAAGTAAATTCTAATAAAGAACTAAAGGGATCTAGCGCTCTTTATATATACGTTAATAATAGCGTGTTTTTTTCTCGGGATTCTATGTGCTCAAATAATGCAAAAAAAAATTGAAAAAGAAAGATATCTTTACTTTAATATGTTTTCTTCAGCTTTTTCGCGTATAGTTGGAAACGTTCAATATTTTAATAAAAACATATAGTGACTAGCAATAACTCGATTATTAATTATAATGAGTACTTAAGAAATATTTCTCAATTTATCTATTGTCAGTTAAAAAAAATAGCAATTTAATACAAAAAAACCTACATCTTTATAAAATATTAAATTACTTTTAATCATTTATTAATCAAGAAATTATTAGTAAAGATTTTAATGAGTAAAAATAACAGAAATCTCACGGAAATTTCACTCTTTTTTCTTAGAATTTACCTTGAAAATTTGATAGTCGTGAGACAACATTGTATTTTCAAGAATTTTAATGTAAATCTCTCTCAATCATTCATAAACTACAATGCAGTATAAAATAAGTTTAATTAATTTTACTGAAGTGCATAATAAAAATTTTTTAATATTATATTGTATCATAACTACACTGAGAAAAAATAGTCTAAATTAAAATAAATATTTATTTAAATACTCTCAAATAAACATATATTTACAACAAATAAATAGTTACTTAATAAAAAGAAGTGATTGTTAAATCAAATTAACGTTTTTTATACCAAATAAATATATTTTTATATTTAATAAATATTTAGCTGGTATTATTCAAATAAACATTTATTGAAATTTAGAATATTTTTTTTTCAGTGTACCATATTTTTCGGGAAATTTTAAAACAAAATTCTCTCCGTACACAAACACAGATTTAAAAAATTGCATATGATCCGAAATGAAAGTATTATCACCGTATTAATTTAAAAAATTGCAAGAAAAGAATTTGTTAATTTTCTTTTAAGCACCATTGATTCCATACTGCGTCATATTTAATCGATGTCGTAACAAGACATACGTGATAATATATTCGGTGATGCGTGTACGCGCGTTCGAGGAACGGCCGCGTGCACGTTCCACGTGACATAGCAAATAGGTCGCAGCGATTCCATCATCGGATGCAGATAAAAAATTTATCCACCCACGGGATAGATTCATTCTACAGCGCCTAAGCGCGCCCTTCGAACGGCAAAGTATATGCACCATTTTCCCATGTAACCAAACCCCGATGATATCGCATTAACTTGCTCATTAAATAGATTACGAGTAGCACAAAGATGATGGTACGTTACTCGACAATCGACCGATACTTGATAATCGTACGACGGTACTAACGCAATTACCCAAGACTTGTATAGGAAAGAGGAAGAGAAATTTGTCAATAGGTGGATGATAATATAGCCTTAAGGTATTTATATAAAACTAATAATATTGGAAACGACTTGTTCTTTAATTTAAACAGATGTATATAGAAAGAACAAGTTTGCTGAAATATATAATATAAAAATTTAGCTACAGATACAGATCTGAAAATAATTTTGTTGAATTATTAAAATAATTAAGTAAGAAATTCATGATTATGATGAATAATTCTGCAAAAAAGTTTAATATTGTAGCAATCAACTTGAGCGTCCTATATAATTATTTTACACAAAATTATTTTATATAGTCCAATAAAATTATTTTCAGACCTAATTGATTAAATTCAGTTAAATTTTTATCAGATTTAGTTTATAAATATTTTAAGGATATATTTTTAAGTACTTCAGCAAAACTGTTCCTTTCATATATAATCAATCATTCAAATCTATTCCCATAAAAATTCCTGAAAGAAAATTTCCAAGCTGTCGAACATATTTTCTTTTTTTATTTTTTTAAATTATAACAAGAAAGCTTAATATCAGTTCTTCAAGTTCCAAATATCAAATCTCGTCTCGAGTGATGTAATGTAGTAACCGTGCGTTCAAAATATATCAAAATTATATCGATGCAAAGATCCCATGTGGACTCAAGATTAGATAACCACCATGAGATGGTGACGTCATGGATGCACGCATGTTTGTTTGTCTGTTACACGCGATGTATCAACGAGGTCACGGCAGTTCAATTACCATCGAGATGGAGGCGAGATCAATCCTCTCATGGGGTAGGTCGGCACCATGGGGCGCATTTGACGAAAGAAAAAAATTCCTCTGGGGAAGAAGTCGGAAGATGCAACACAGAGAAATTGAGGGAGTGATTTTATTGCATAATCGAAGCATTGTTGCAGCACTTTTACACTTTTACAAAAGAATAGTTTTCCTAAAGTATCTAAAAATTTGATTAGATAAATAATAATTTCTTTTCATCAAAATAATTATGAACACGCTCAAGCTGATTGTTGGAATGTCAAAACTTTTTGCAGCCTTATCAACATGCTTGAGTGTCCTAATTATTTTAATAATCCAACAAAATTATTTTCAAACCTGTGTCTAGTTAATCATTAGATACTTCAGCAAAATCATTCTTTTCATGTACGTGGATTAAACGTGGAGCACTTTTCTCCAAGTATTTCAAAAAATTACTACAAAAAGTTAAAGGAAATGTTTGCGTTTTTTGTTTGTCGCTTAAAATTAATGTTGTACCGAAGATATTAATAAAGAACTTCACACAAACTGCTGTACCTTGTTAATAAATCCAAGTATCAATGACTCTGAAGATCTGATTTGATTTCTAGAATGTATAATACTTTACACAAGAAATACTCTTAATAATAAATTACTCTTAATAATAAATTCAGTAATTTTGCTAAGTACTACAATCTTGATTAAAACTTTCATATAGTTAAAAACAAATTATTTAGAAAAAATTATCTTCACATATATACCCAGAAATATCAAAATTCTAAACAAAGTCACAGTCGCGAATATTCATTCATTTTACCTCAAAAATTTAATCAAGTAATTAAATTAACGGTATACTTTAACGATATAATATGCATTTCAATAAAGAAAATTTTTATTGTAAAATTATTATTTTTCTCGCGATTTAAATATTCAAACAATAGTGTTATAAAATTCAACAAACTCATTTAGAAGTACATTAAAAAGAGATCGATATCTTGTAAATTTTTCAGAAAATCACGTCCAAAGCTTCAACAAATAAAAAATAGAAAAAATCAAATAAGTTATATATCATGAGCTCTGCTACCAGAGAGGAAAAGATCAAGTGAAGATAAGTGTGATGGAATCTATTCGGTTTCAAAGCGAGGCTCATATATTATTTGTAGTTTCTTTTTAATAATTTGTAAGTCCGTTTATCCCATAGCAATAATGATTCTTGCTCAAACGTGTGCTTAGAAATTTGTCGAATATGTGTTATATCTTTTAGGATCGGTATTATGTTGTATTGAATAACCGAAGATATATTGTTGTCCCATCGCATTCTCAAGGACTGGTACTTCTAATATTGCTACGCCCTTCAGTCAGTCCATGAGGTATTGTGAACCCTAGAATACATCAATCAGTGAACACAGGTCCTCGCTAATAGACCGATTGAAGCCAGCTAGTTTTGATAGGCATTCAGAGATCTCTCTCATTGAGGCGTATAAATATTTTAACGCATTTGAAACGTATTCAATTCGATATCACATTCAAAAGATTTATTGGAAAATTTTTTACTTGACAATTATATACATGTATGTCGACAATTATATTTCCGATTAAGGAAGTGACAATCATTGAGATATTTTATCTGTTGTTGCTATTTGTTTCTTTCTTTTTATTTTGACAAATATTGTCAATATTCGAGGTGAGAAATCTACTCAAGCAGAACAACAAGTCATTATAATATCAAAATGACATTTACTTTAACTCCAAACTTTACTTTGACTCCAAAATATCATTTTAATGTCAGTTTGACATTATCGTGACTTAGGCATCTAATGGAACAAAATTGGAATGGATTCCGATCGGAATTATTCAATCATTCACTAGATTTCTATTGTATTTTTGGGGGAAAACGAAATAATTCTGATCGGAATCTATTTTGACTTTGTTCTATGATAAATACCTTGATGTTTTTCTTCTTCGCACAAAAATGACTCCCCCCCTCCCCCTCCCCCACCCGGCTACTCTTTCCTTGTTTAAGTACTGAAATTGCATTAATAATAATATTGCGCGTTGCAGTTTTTATAAATGAAACGTGATGACTATATTACAGATATTTTACTTACTTTTTACGATGCAGATCGAATTTTGCAATGAGTCCGTCATTTAGCGGCAACAGTGGCAGCGATGAAATCATAAAACTTTAATTTGCGCTACCAGAGTGTGCCACGTAACAGCATGTCCTGTCGGTTTTCGAATTTCGGTGGTTTTCGGAAACGTTCGATGATTTTCGCCGGTCAGATGTCGTGCGTCATGCCGCGCATGCGTGATTGTTGACTCGACTGCGCGTAAAACTTAACCTTGAATTCTACATCATATTAGGACGTTTAAGATATGAAAAAATGTTCGGCAAATTGATTTCGGGCATATTTCAATCCTTGCCGTAAATGTCAACTTTTGTTTCTAGTCTCTATAATTAATACTTTTTATAATAATTCCTGTCGATGCGTATCATATTATCAATCGTAAACACATCCATTGTCAAGTGCATTTCAACTGATACTTTTTGCATGCCAATTATTTTGTAATTATTTTGTAGAAGAAACAAATTAAATTATAATGTCAAATATAATATAAAAGTAATATAATAAGTTATAAACATAGTAAACTTATTTGCATTACTTAACCTATAGTGCACATGATTGGATCAGTTTTCTTCTGTATTTCTTTTCTTTGAAATATTTCTTTGAAAATCTAGCTAAATAATAATCTTATTAATAATATCTTTATTCTTTCTTCTTTTTTAAATACACAACTTTATAGTTTCTAAAAATGTTAAAATACAGAAGAATCATTTAATAATTTTTGTACATTATAAAAAATGATGAAAATTCATGATATGTTGTTCGGAATATGGACATCCTATCATGTGCAATAAAAAACTGAAAAATCATCGTAGATACTAAAGATTTATATAAAACAAATACAACATTGAAGTATTAAAACAAGGTATAAATACATTATATAACATCATATTTTGTTAACAGACAGGCTTCAAACCAACTTTTGTCGACCGTGACTGCAACATCCGTGTGGAGCCCATGGGGTTTAACATTTGTGAGAAACAGAATGAGATATCACTTTCCTCATCCTAATGAAAGGAAACGAATAAAAAAGCATGGCTGGTTTGCAAGGCTATCGACACCAAATGGTAGAAAAATTCTTCAAAGAAGAATCTTAAAAGGCAAACATGTGCTATCTCATTAATCATTATGTTATCTATCTGATTGATTAAATGTATGAAAATGTACGCAAAGAAATAAATGTTTTCAATTTAATTAAAATCCTTTTTATTACAATCAAAATACTTAGCGAGAGATAGTATGTGAATTAATTGCTATCATGTGCATTCATGTAAACTAACTTTTCTTCATTATCTTCATTACTGGAATTGATTTCATCAGGTATTTTAAACTTAAGCTGCTTGCAAGTCCAATCGAATGGATTCATCAAAGGAGCTTCTATTACTAAATCTTTTTTCTTTTTGTCGATTAAGTGTATACTTTTCAAATGTAAGTGTACTGGAATAATTTCTTGTTGACTTAGTTTTATATTTAATAGATTTAGTAATTGTTGATTTATTTTTGGTAAATTATAATTGGAATCAGCAAATGGATCGATTTTTAACCATGTACCCATGATTTCTTGGACTCGTGATCCATAAATATTATCTCCAAGAATCGGACTGTATAGCATAGTGGAAGCAAATAACCTGATACTGTGCCATTTTTTTAAGGATGACACAATTTCTATTAGCGAACTTAAATTATGCGTCGAATTGCTTATGACTTTATAATCTATATTCATTATTTTGGCTTCACCCTTCTTTATCATATTCTTACTCCATTGAGTCAAGATAATAGGCTGAAATGCACATGTAATTGTTACTTCAGTGAATATTAATTATTTCGCGAAAATGTATATATGGAGGTATACCTTTTTAACTCCTGATGCAGATATTTTTAAAACTACTGCTAAATGATGTTTTCCTTTGATCTCGTTTGGAACTCTAGTTGTTACTGCCCAATATTTCCTGTATATACCTTGACTTCGTCTTCTTGACAGTTCTAATTGGTGATACACTTTTTCGTTAATTCCGAAAATATATACGCCGCTCATATATCTATAAATAAAGTAAGATTAGAAGTAAATAAATAAAATGGTTTTTTTTAGAGAAAAAGAAGGGAGAGGATGATGACTTCTCTGCTCCAAAAGATGGTATTAACATCGGTACATTTAACTCCTTTGCAAGATATGGCAAAACATCGTTTAAAGAATAATCTGCTGCTCCTACAATCTTATGATGTGAATGCAGATATGTGTTTATATTTGACTTTGGATGTAAAGATATGCCATATGGTTTGTTTATTGCAATTATTCCATCTGCAAAAAAAGTATTCGTAAATTAATATTCTAATGTATCACTTTTATCAGCTAAGTAAAACAAAAATATATAGATATTTTATTTCTAATCAATATCATATATATATATATAACTTTACAACGATATAATATCTCTTTTAATACTATTTTTAATATCCCTTTTAATATAACTAAAAATTTCTTATTATAAATAATGAAATTCCTGTATATGGAAAAACCAACTCTGATGATAAAAGGAAACCATCATATTTAAAATAATCTAAGCAAACAAAATGACTGTGATTTAATGTTTCTTGAATTTCAATATTAATATAACTCCTCCAGAACTGACAGTGCATATTGAATTTAATTATAAATCTCTTTATTACTGCTAGATTGTTATTCAAAAACATATTCTGATGACGTGTTCTCAAGTGGGAATCCAAATATGCCCCAAGACTTGCAAAATATCTTTCTCTAGTATTTTTTCTTCTATATTTTCATTATATTTCCTTTAAATTTAGCAGATTATCAGATACTATGAAGTGATTACTTTTCATGATTTGAAGAATTTCAGTATGATTTTCAATCTATTTATATTTTTCATTCAGAAAAGTAAGAATTATTTTGTGTAAATCAGTCATCAAAGTAATATTTTAAATAGACTAATTATAAAAATAATTCTTTTCAAGAAATGTTTGATCTCTAAGATTTGAAAAGAATTAACATTTTATTTGAGATGCCTGATTTTGAATCATGCAAAGACAGGAAAATACAGTGCTGCTCAAAAAGTTCAAGTTTCAAATTTTTGTGTCTTGAATATATCAACATTCTAGGTAGTTATTATTTGGACAACAAAGATTTTGATGAATAAAAATAATTCAACTTTTTCTGTGAAGTAATGTTAAGATAAAAAATATATTTTAATTTCATTAATTCTTAACTCTTGTATCTATTAACACGTCAATTGTAATTTTACAGAAAAATAATCAAATATCTTCTTCATTATTACAATTTTGGATTATTTGTATTAAAATATATTTATTCTTTTTTATACAAGTCATACATTTTGGTTCCTCGAAATTAATTAGTACCTCTTTCAACATTAAATATCTCATACTGATCCAGCGTTAATAATTACAGATTTTGACATCAACTCCAGAAGGTTAATGGCCATTAAAAAAACATCGTATAATAATCACAATAATACTATAAAATTATATTAAAAAGAAGATTACTAACTTTTACAAAATGATAAAAGAAAATTTTCATGTTAAAATAATATATGCAAGTAAAATATAACTGATATAAAATAACATTTTTAATTATAATATTAACGATTATTGCAAATAACATTGTTTAATGTTTATTCGTCACAATAATGCTAAAATTACATCAAAAAGCAAGAATTTTATTAACTTTCATAAAATAGAACAATTATAGAATCTGTTTTTTATAGCTGAACTAGTACAAACTTTTGGAACTTAAAATAAGATAGGTATACATTTAATATTTGGCAAAAGTAAAAGTTCTAGTGTAGTTAGTACAGGAATGAGAGACAAATCTATAAAATTCATCAGTCTTATAATAATGAAAATAACTATATTAATCTTACTAGAAAAAAATACATTAATCCTAGATATACAATAATTTCTCCACCTGAATTATAAATAACGTTCTTCAGCAAATCTTTTACAAATTCATTCTCCGATTTCCACGGATGAATTTGATTGTACGGATGGATCACCTTCTGTGTCGTCGTCGTTGTCGTCGTATCATTCTCTGTGGTGCAATATTTTCTATAGTATGTGCGAAACGCCACTGCGAACTCGCTGGTCCGCACGTTTCTGAATACTGTCATCGCACTCTTCATTTCTTCCCGAGATTTGTAAAATTCAAGTCGTTTCTTTACGAATTTTACCTGCCTTCAGACACAGGATTGCTCTTCAATTTGAGGTTAAACTCGACATAACCGCATGTGATATTATATCACTAACTATAAAAACGACATGGAATTGATTATTTAAGAACAAGCAACACTTTTATTTATTATTAGTTTAAATCAAATTAGGGATTAGTTTCAATTATAAAAATCAATAATTTATTCACTAAACTTATAAGTATACTGGAATTCTCACTCGGATTTTAGTATATTTTAAATCCCTGGATCCGGCATTTCTTGTGAGAAAAACATCAAAATCGTTCATACACTAGCGCCAATCCATTTTCGATTCGAAAACTTACGTAGCCACGTACTAACGATAAAATGTCTATGATGGAATTGCTAACACCAAGAAAAGTAATATAAAATAATTAATAAAATAAATATGACTGAATATATACAGAGTGATCCAGTCGTAAGAGTCGAGCATGTACGCATTGTCCATGAAAGTATAAATTGAAAAGTCCTCTCTACTATAATTATTTTACAATTTCCGCAATTATATTTTTTTAGTTATCAATAAGTAGAATGTTTGAAATCGACGCATGAGATAACTTTAGAATATCTTAGAATTTGTTAAGAAATCTTTCTGAGATATTTCATAAAGAACTTTGAAAGATATTATCTTAATCAATTATCTTATATATCCGTTATTCGGCAATTTTTATATAAGCAGAGAGAAACCTGAGAAAGAACATGACGGCCCAAAACTTGTAACCACAAAATGCTGCCGCGCATTATTTTGTCCTTCTCAAAATGGATGTAAACTACATAACAATGTCCTTTTCTTTTCTTAGGGTACATTGTCTGTTTTTCAAGGCTGGAGATAATAACTCAATATATTATATGATATATTATATGAACCAAAAATTTTTGCAGGTAAGTATTTTATTTTAATTAATTTTTTTTATGTTTATGTCTAATTATTTTATTGTATTTTGCTAATGAAATTGCAATAACTTTTTAAATATTATTCTTTTTTTATTATCCTTTATACGATTTGATATTAAAATTATAATACTTACTTATAGTACAATTATCAATGTTGTTCAAAATATAATAAAAATGATAACATAAGGGCATAATTAACAAATTTCTGTAATGAAGGGATTATATGAAAATGTCCAAAGTACATACGATAACACAAATTTTTCTAAACCAATGTTTTTGAACCAATTTAATGAAATATTGATAAACGCAGAAGAAATACTAACAACAATTAGATCATATTTACTATTAATTATTTACTATTAATTAAGTATTTACTATTAAATTGCGAATGTAAAACTTAATAATATCGCGATAAAGAGTTATTAATAATATTTATAACAGCACTTTCATCGCGTTCAAAATAATTATCTCAATAATTTCATATCAAAATCCCTCCGCCTCGTATTATGCTGATTAGTGTTCGATACAAAAAAGAACAATCTTCATAGAAAGCGAACTTTGTACTCAGATTCTACATAAATTCAGATTTTTATAAGATCCATTTACAAAGAAAAGTTAAGCAATTCGTCAAATATCAATGATCTTGTTACAGGACTGCGGTGTGAATCTTTCAGACTACTTAGCGATAATAATAATTTTGATAACATGTCAAGTACAATTACTATTTTTATCTTTAATATAACATTAAAATTTGCGAGAAAATATGTTCTGCCAAATATGTTCTGATAAAGTATTTGTAAAAAGCATCTCTTAAAAATAAACGGATAGAATGATTTCCTTATGCAATAGTTACAAGTTTCTCGGATATCAACTGTTCGAGATGAGCCGAACTCGATAATAACGAGATTTTAAAAAACATTTATACTAAAAAATTTATTATATAAAATTAACAATTCTATAATTTAACAATTCTTTATTTTTTAATAATTACAATTACTAATATCCCGCTAATATGAGGATTCGACTTATCTTGAATTTTTTGTACCCACACATTTAAAATTCAATTCATGTAATCACGATAACATTGTTAACTATAAATAAATGAAAAAAGTTATGTAAATATCAACAAAAATCAATATTCATTAAATATAACCTCATAATATCTGCATGTATTTTATCATAGAAAAGTATATATATATAGGGTGCATCAGCAAAATTCGGACAAATTTCAATTAAAATTTTCCTCTATATTGTGCCTCCGCCAGAGGTAACTGTTGGCGTCCGAGAAAGTCTGATGCTTCTAATAAACAGTCATTCTCAAAATGGCTGCGATGTTGAAACCAAGTGCGAAATATAATCGAAGAGTCGCGATCATCGAAAGCCTTCGCGCTGAGCGCTCAGCAACGGAAATAATTCTTTGGATACCCGAGATCAACCGTTTATAACGTTGTGACAAAATATATGGCTTTAAAACAGTCTAACGAAGATTCCAGTATGCCAACAAGGAAGAGTCACTCGAAAGAACGCACTGCTAGAACCCCCGCAGTCGTTGAAAGAGCTCAAGCGTTGATTTCAGATGACCTAGGGCAATCATTGCGAAAATTCGATTGTTGATGTAAGCGAATCAACAATGCGTCGAATTGCTGAGGAGAACATTCAATACAAATCGTACATATTAAAGATACGACAGATGCTCTCTGAGACTGCCAGGACAAGCCGAGTTGCTCGCTGCAATCTGCTATTGTGTTCTTTGAAAAACAAAGCATCGGGACGAATCAGGTTCTTTTCTGACGAAAAAATTTTTACTGTTGGTGCCAAAATCAACCGGAAGAATGACCGATGGTTCGTCTATAACCCCGAGGATGCCCCTGTTGCCAAAACGAAATTTCCGGTCAACGTTCATGTGTTAGGTGTTGTATCCAGTGAGGGTGATGTCATGCCACCATATTTCTTTAAAGAAGGGGAAACTGTCACAAAAGAAGTGTATTTGCGCGTTCTGATGAATGTAGTGAGGTCGTGGATGGAAACTGTGGCGTCCGGAAGGCCATATGTTTTTCAGCAGG